CTTCATTTGCCGCTACTTGCCGTCCGCTGCAGCATCCTCCCAGGACGACATGTCTGATATTATTGGGTGCATCGTGAGCGACAAGTCACTCGCTGTTGCTTCATCTGTCGGGTTGCAGCGGCACTTGCAGGATGAGTTTAAGAGACATGGCGTCTCCCTTTAGTTTTCCGCGAGCGCGAAGGACTTTGGGCTCCATCACCACGGCTCACAAGAGACGGGCCACGTGGAAGACCCAGCAGCGGCGAGCTATGTCCTTTCGACGGGGTTGCAAATTCGCATACCTTGCTCGGCTGTGTTGGGCCTCGCGTAAGGTGTATAAGCCAGGTGTTATATCAGTTGGTTCGTGGGGGCACTCCCTCGGGGCTCTCTCCTGGTGCTCTCAGGCAGATCCGTTCCTCGGCCGCCTTCTGCTCTGGGTTTTGGTCTACTGGGGTGTGCACTACTTCGGTGTTGCGGGTTTTGCATGATACTAAAGATGAACCTATTTATCGATTGCGTATTGAACAACTGACATTGGTCTCCGAGGTTTGTGTTTCGCTTCCGGAAGGTCTTCGATATGGAGTTCGGAGAGTTTGGGAGTCTTTGAGAGGCAACCTTATATGGCGACATGTACGAGGCCCCGTAGCAGCCCTCTTTGCTAGCGTGCTCGACTTAGGCTGGGACCCCATTAGCATTGACGAGTGGCAGGTGGAGGGTGCTCAGCCGTTGAGGATGATTGATCATGATGTTTGTTATCACGCCACGGCAGCTGTGCGCGCTGGATGCTCTGCTTCTGTCTGGGACCAGGCGAGCCGACATTACTGTGGGCAGGGCCTGGCCACTGGTGCTGGTTTCACGGTCTTCAGGGCCAATCATGAGAAGCTGCTCGATGACGGAGCGTTTCAAAGCGCTGCTCCACTCACTTCCATTGTTGTTGGTGGATGTTGGCCCGAGAGCCGACTTTAAGATAGCGGGTAGCTCACGCCAGGCATGTGTTTTCGTTGTGGAGACGAGCGTGAGACCCCACTTCACCGATGTTGGGGATGCCGTTCCAGCGCCTTCCTGAGGGACCCCAGTACTGCTGGCAGTCAGTATCTAGTTGAAGATCCCCATGGCGCTGACCCTGATAGTGCTTTCTTCACCCGTGGAGTTTATTCTGTGGATGCCACCAGTGGTCACCTTCCTCCCCCTCAAGGGCCCCATTGGAAATGGGGTTCCCTGAAGGCTCAACAATGCGTCTCTGGAGTACTTGGGGCCGTGATGGCTCTGGAGGGAAGCTTGCTACGGATAAGCGACTCCGACGTTGTGGTTGGTCAATCTGGAGTTTGGGTTATCTTGATGGTCTCTCTCTCTCTCTCTCTATCGCTTTCTCTCTCTCTCTCTCTCTCCAATTGGATGCAGTTATGTGTGGTAGTTTATCTACTCCTGAACAGTCCAGTCCACGTGCTGAACTGTTGATGATATATTGTTTTTTGTTTCAGATTACCTGCCCTCGGTTCAGGGCCTAAGACAGCCACGAGCTCAGTTAGTTGCTAGTAGCTCGATGCTCAACCTGTGGGTTCGGACTTGGTCGGCGCTCGATCATGCCGGCCTTGGTAGGGTCGGGGTTCTGTGGACAAAGAGTCACTCCACGGCCCGCCAGAAGGCCCACTGGGGAGGAGGAATTTTTCCTGAATTGGAGTGCTGCTTTTTTCCGCGGGATGGGCTGCTGAACGAGCTGGCCCATCCCAAGAACAGGTTGCCCTCGCCCTGTATGTAGACAGAGTGACCTCTCACACGCTCGACCACTTGATGGTGCATCAAGAAGTTGTTGAAGCCAACCCGAGGAGGACCTCGGATAGGCTCGGCCGCCCGCCACCGCTCCCTCCCCCTATTCCCTCCTTCTTTGTCAGGAAACAGAGGTTGCGGAGCGCTGGCCATGACGACCCGCGCAAAGTTGGCTCATTTTTGAATTGTCAGATGTGTGCGCGTCGTTTCAGCCTCCGAGGTCGCGTCCAGGACTTTCGCCCAGGTCCTTGCCTTGGCCCCGCCCACCTCTCGGCTGACCCGTCTGCCCTCCCTCTTTACCCCATTTGTGCCAGGAATTATTGTCTCCGAGTGTAGCGGGGAGTTTGGCATTGTGCTCACTGTGGCGCTCACGCCACGTTGGATGTTCAGGGTCTTGCCAAGCCTTGCAAGACCGACCGCCCTCCTACTAAAGCTGGGAAGGAGGTGCTGTCCCGACTGGAGAAGGGCTGCCCCCCAAGAGCGGAGGTAAGTTCCCGCATGTTGCTTGAATGTAATGACGTGCCCAGACTTGACCTGGTCTCCACGGGCTTTCTTCTCTTATCCTCCTCCTCCTCGTCCTCCTCCTCCTCCCTCCCTCCCTCCCTCTCTCCCTCCCTCCCTCCCTCCTCCCTCCTCCCTCCTCCCTCCTCCCTCCTCCTCCTCCTCCTTCCTCCCCCCTCCTCTCCCTCCTCCCTCCTCCTCCTCCCTCCTCCTTCCTCCCTCCTGCCTCCCTCCTCCTCCCTCCTCCCCCTCCTCCTTCTCCTCCTCCTCCTCCTCCTCCTCCTCCTCCTTCTCCTCCTCCCTCCTCCTCCTCCCCCTCCCCTCCTCTCCTCCTCCTCCTCCTCCTCCTCCTCCTCCTCCTCCTCCTCCTCCTCCTCCTGCTCCTCTTCCTCCTGCTCCTCCTCCTCCTCTCCCTCCCCCCCCCTCTCCGCCGCGCGGCCGCGCTCACCTCCGCGGGCCCCCCGGGGGCGCACCGGGCCCGGAGTCGGGGGGGGCACGGGCAACGATAGGGGGGACAGGCATAGGGGGAGATACATCGACCCCCAATCGCTCACTGGTTGCTGAAATGGGGCCCGATAGCCCCAACCTGCCCAGGAAAGTGCGGAGTCACTATCGGAGGCCTATCGCCCATCTATTGGCGATGTATCGCCGATTCCAGGTCGATGCATCCCCCCTTATGCCAGTCCCCCCTCTATCGTTGCCCCTCAGGGGGGGGGCGAGGCAATGATGCCAAGAGCTTTCAAGCTGTGATTGCGCAAGTTGTCCGCCTAGCTCTAAGACGTGTCTTGCGACTTCTGAATCCGAGCCTCGGTGACTACGGTTCACGCAGTGAGGCATTCACGCAGGTTCGTCAGCCACGCAAATCGTGGGCAACGCCCAGAATTCCTGGCGTGTCGCTGGACATGTTGATGAAATGTGGACGAACTGTGGCCGCCGTAATCTGGACGACATCCACTTGAAGTCACGTTTATGATCGGACCGCGCAGATCCATGGAGGCTCCCATGAGCCAGTCGCACGCAGAGGGGGGTAAAGAGAGGGAGGGAGGCGTCTTAGAGAAGCACCCCTGCTTCTTAGAAGGTGCGGGCCTGGTCTAGAGATGCAGGAGCACCAGCAGAGGTGTTTCTAAGAAGCCTTCCCGTTTCCCCCCTAGCCCCTTGTGCGCGCCGCCAAGTTCTGGGGTTGGGGCGCTGGGGGGCATCAGGTGCGGGTGTTCTCGTGGTTTCTCCGCGGTTTCCCAGCCCCCCGATGTGTGTGGATGGGAGGGGGACGGAGGCGGGCCGGGAGCAGGAGGGGGAGGAGGACGGAGCCCGTCCGCACGTCCCCCGAACCGACTTCGAGCCCCCGTGGCCCTCGCGGGGCGGAGTCCTGGAGTTCGACGGCCTCGAGGTCGGACATAACGGCAACCGCACACCATTACCCCTCCTGGCTAAGCCCATCTTGGCCCTCAGGGCAAGGCCGGTGCATACGCCGTCCTGGCTGGGCCAGGAAGACGTGCATGGCATGCACTGTTCCTGGGGCCCAGGAGGGGCCCAGCCAAACAGCAGGTGCCCAGGAAGGGCCCAGCCAAGCAGCAGGTGCCCAGGAAGACGTGCACCGCAGGCGCTGCTCCCGGGGCCCAGGAGGGGCCCGGCCAAAGAGCGGGCGCCAGAGCGTGGCTGTTGCCGTCCTGCGCAGGGGCGCTGGCGCGTGCAGCTGGACGGCCTCCGGGAGCCGAAGTGCGTGCCGCCGTCCAGCCTGCGCGCCCTGCCCGCGCGCGCGGCGGCGCCCCCGCCCGCAGAGGGGGCTCGCGCGGCGGCGGCGGGGCCGCCGCCCCCGGCGGAGCCGCCCGCGGCAGGCCCGGCGCCCGCGGCGGAGGCACCGGCCCCGGCGGCGACGCCCGCGGCCAGCCTGTCGCCCGCGGCGGAGGCGGCGCCCGCGCGGGCTGTGGCGGAGCCCCAGGCCCAGAGCTCCTATACGACGTGGTGTCTTTTCCATCCTGGCGTGGTTCACTCGGCGGCGAGCGGGGGGGGGGAGGCGAGATGCGGAAGGCCTTCTCGGGAGGCGGCGGGATTTCTCCGAAGCCCTCCCCGCCTGTTAAGAGGCTGTCTGTGCCTTCGGGGAAGGCTTAACTCGGGCCTGTCCCTCTACAGGAGGAATATTCCCAAGTAGTTCAAAAATAGTCTGGGGACGATTAATTCGTATTCTTTGACTATGTTTGGTTGGCCACGCTGTAGGAGGACAGGCCCGACTTAAGGGAAGGCTTGGACAACTTCTCAGAAGGCCGGGGGACTTCCGAGCCTTCTCAGAAGGCGCTCTCCTTCTCGCTTCCCCCTGGGCTCGCCGCCGATTCCTGGATTTCGGCCTCTGCGTGCTGTTGGGTCCCGGGGCCATCAAGCATAGACCCGGGGCAAAGAAGAACCATCTTGGAGGCGTCGTGGGCGATCTTGGGGGCCGCTTAAGCCGTCTGGAGCTGCCAAAATGCCGAAACGAAGCAAATGCCACAATCTTTCAAAAACTTACGGAAAATCAATGACTTTGGGGTCGGGGCCCCCTAGGTCTGCGCCTTGAGAGATCAGATCGACGGCTGTCTGGGCCCCAGGTGCTGCCAGGCGCGCGGGTGAGGCTCCGCGGTCTGCAGGGGTGGCCTAAGCTCAACGGCCTGCACGGCACAGTGATCGACCAGCTCCCGGGGGGCGCCCGCTGGCGCGTCGCGATCGACGGCGGCTCTGGGGCCAGCGTGCGCGGCCAGAACCTGGAGGTGACAGGGGGCCCCATGCCAGGGTTCCGCGCGGACGCGCCGACAGGGACGGGAGGCCTCCGAGCGGGGGACCGGGTGGCCGTGCGCGGCCTTCTAGCCCGCCCAGACCTCAACGGGGCAACCGGCAGGCTGCACGGGTGGAACGTCGAGACGAGCAGGTGGAACGTGGTCACCGACGCCGGCCTGGGCCTGAGCCTCTCCGCGCTGCACCTGGAGGCGTGCGGCGGCGGGGCCGCCGGAGGGCCCGGAGGCGGAGCGGCTCGCGGCCGCGAGGCCGACGGTGGGGCTCCCGCTGGGGCTCCTGTCCCGGCCTCGGCTCCGAGTTGTCCAGGCCTACGCGAGCGGTTCCATGGCTTCATCTGATGGACTTGTTTTCCACCACCACCACCATAGGTTGGAGGGGGAGCGGCTCCTCCTCCTCCTCCTCCTCCTCCTCCTCCTGCTGCTCTTCCTCCTGCTCCTCCTCCTCCTCCTCCTCCTCCTCCTCCTCCTCCTCCTCCTCCTCCTCCTCCTCCCCCCCCTCCAACTAATGGTGGTGGTGGTGGAGGAAAACAGGGCCCTCATCATCCACCGCGGCGAGCGTCTCTGCGTTCCTGGAGAGGCCGCCGCGGCGTGCCGGAGCGAAGGCGCGGTTGGCAGCGGGGCCTCGGGAGGTAGCGCGGGGCATGCGGCCAGATCGCAGGCAGAGTGCGCGGAGAGCGGCGATGGGCTCTTGGCGGGGCATGGAGGGAAGGGCGAGCTGCATTGCTACCTGGCGGATGTGAGGGCGAGCTCGGCAAAAAGGCGAGCGTGCATCCACGTCCATGCATGAGCTGCGTCTGTTGCGTACTCTGGGTTTCTTAATAGGCGTGGAGGGGTACGCCCCCGACGGGGGTCAACCTCGCCTCGTCGTCGCGACGCGACGGGGGTCGGAGCGCCTTCGGCGCGCGGTGGCTGCCCGAGACGGGGGTCGATGTGGGGCTGTCGGCGGGGGTTACGCCCCCCCGACGCTTCTTGAGAAACTCGGAGCAGGCAGACGCATGGGCCTTGCCTGCGCGGGGGGTGAAAAGGATGGAACTTCTCAAAGGGAGTAGAGCCGTGCATGTGAAACACCACTCTCGGTGGTCGCTTGTAGGGCCCACCTCCGGGCTCGACTGGAGAGGGGCCTCCCTGAAATGGCTGCGGGCTCCGAACCCCAGGGGAGGGGGTCCTTCCCCCGGGGGGGAGGGGGGCCAAGAGGGGGGTGGGCTTCGCCCCTTCGGGCCCCCCCCCCACCTTCTCCTTTGGCGGGAATCCCGAGGGCCGACAACGGCGACGACGACGACGACGACGACGACGCTGACGACGACACTGACGACCACGCTGACTGCGGCGCTGACGACGGCGCTGACGACGATCACGACGACGACGACGACGATCACGACGACGACGACGACGACGACGACGACGACGACGACGAGTGGGGCCAGCCAGCGTAGTCGACGGCGACGACGATGGCGACAGGGGGCCGGCACGCTCAAACGAGGATCACGACGATGGCGTCGACGAGTCGACGACGGCGACGTGGACGGCGACGAGGACGACGACGATGACGGCGACGACGACGACAGGTTTTATTTACTGGTCCGCCCGCCAGTCCTGCGTCTTTGGCGGTCGTCGTGATCTATTTTCCCATATCCATCTCCCAACACAGAATGAAGCTTGCATTTACAGCCCCGCCCGCCCCATATGGCGCCACATCACTGAGCGCATGGTTCCTTTTGGTGTCCCGCCCGCCCGACTGGCGTCTGCGGCGGTTGTGATCAATTCCTTTCAAATTTCTCAACTTACGCAGTGAAGGTGGCATGTGATGTCCCGCCCGCTCAATTCGGACGCCCAAACAATGACTACAGGTTTCATGTTTGAACCGCCCATCCGACTGATGTCTTTGGTGATGTGACCTATTTTCCCATGTCCATCTCCCAACACAGAGTGAAGGTTGCATTTTGGCTTACAGGCCCACCTATAGAGGAGCTTCCACAGTTGGGGGGCGCCCCGAGCAGTTGAGTAGATTTTGATGTCGCGTGGCTACAGCCACACGACATCATGAGATCGTCTACGCGCGACCCTGTAAGTTGGTCCGACTGCGTTCGTTTGCGCCGCGTGCCACTTGCCCAAAGTATGTTCGCGTCCTCATCCCCTCTCTTCTACCCTCTCCATTCCCCCCGATGTCTATTGTCATATCCCTGCGGCCGTTTTCTCTGCATCCTCTTTCCCAGCCTCTGCCCTTCGAGCTCCTCCTCTGCCCGCTTCGGTCCCTGCTCCTCGTCGCTTTCCGCACCCCCCCCTCGTTCCCTTCCTTCTTCACGCCCTCCCAGACAAGTATCATCGTTTTGGTTGTCTTCCTGCGTCCCCTTCTTATCAGGGCTCGCGCCCCCCCCGCTCCTGCGCCTACCCTGCGCGTCCCTTTTTTGTCAAAGTTCGCATCAGATTCCTCAGTGTTTTTCTGTTGCATGTTCCCTACTCTTCCCACGGTCGCCATTTGGGCCTCCTGTTCCTCTTCGTTGGTCGCCTGCGTTGTTCCTCCGCTTCCCCGTGTTCCCTCCTTCTCCCCCGCTTTCCTTGCGTTTCCGTTGGGAACCTCTTGGAGTTCTCTCTGGGGCATCCCGGGGCCCTCTTTGTGGATTGGATTTTGGCGCGGCGCGCGCCCAAAATCTACAATGCCAGTTGGCTCGTGAAGACATGTTCGGGGTTCCCCAGATCTACGCCAAGATTGTGCTAGTGTAGATGTCTCGTGTCCTTTCTGCGAAACCTACATTAAGGTGGGTCTAATGTAGATCGCTGTCCGGCTCCATTGCGTAAATTTGCAGTGCGCCTTTGCCCATCGCGGCGCCCCGGTGCCGATCTACATTGTGTTGTTTTCCCTACCTTCCTTGGTTGGGTATTCATCCTTCTCCCGCCTCCCGTCTCCCGCCTCCCTCCTCCCGTTTCCGTCTTGTCGCCTCCTGTCTTGTGCGTACCTCGTGTGTGTGTGTGTGTTTGTGTGTGTGTTTGTGTGTGTATGTGTGTGAATGTGTGTGTGTGTGTGTGTGTGCCGTCCCTGGGGGCTGCAATCTGCGACGCTGTCGCCACTTTCGAGGGCTGCTGGCGGGTCCTGCGGACTGAGTCCCCGCGGGGATCTGAGCGAGACCTCGCCGTTTCTGGGGGGCTGCAATCTGCGACGCTGTCGCCACTTTCGAGGGCTGCTGGTGGGTCCTGCGGACCGAGTCCCCGCGGGGATCTGAGCGAGACCTCGCCGACCCTGGGGGGCTGCGATCTGCGACACTGGCGCCACTTTCGAGGGCTGCTGCTGGTGGGTCCTGCGGACTGAGGCACCGCGGGGATCTGAGCGAGACCTCGCCGTCCCTGGGGGGCTGCGATCTGCGACACTACCGCCACTTTCGAGGGCTGCTGGTGGGTCCTGCGGACTGAGGCACCGCGGGGGCCCCTTCAAGGATAACCTGAGAAACGAGCGGAAATTCCCAGAGCGCTCTGGGACCAGAACCAACAGAGCAGCTTAGGAGACCAGCGCGGAAGCTCAGACGACCCGAGCGACGACAAGAGCAGGCAGACCGACCCGGATCGCTGGCAGAGCGGCCTCGACAAGTCGGGTTGACCCAAGAGGGGGTCCAGCGACAAGGGGGTGGTGCAATGGATTTGGTGCAATGGACTTGTGGGGTTGCAACACATTTGGGGCGTGCAACTCCTTCGGGGGCGCAAATGTATTGCTGCACTTTCGCGCGCAATGCATTACTTGCAATACAAAGCAATACAATTCTACGGCGCAGTACGTTTGCAATACAGTTGCCTCACATCATCTACTGCACCGCCCCCTTTGAGCTGGACCCCCTCCTGGGTCATCCAAACTTAGGCACAGGCTGCCCCTGCAGCGCAGTCCAAGGTGGGCACCTCGAGAGAGGGGGTCCTGGGGCGCCCCCCCAGGGCGATGACCCCGAGAGGCCAGGCGGCCCGGAGAGAGGGGAGGAGCCAGCACCAGCCAAGACGCCGCGGCCCGCGGGCCAGCAGAGAGCACGACGGCCCACGGGCCAGAGCGCGGCGCCTGCCAGGAGAAGCTACCGCCGCGCAACGAGAGGGGCCCTGACCTCGCCAACCTCGAGGAGCTCTACAAAGCGGCTCTCGCAGAGGTCGCAAGGTTCGGGCGCGCCGAGAAGGCGCCGCAGGAGGTCTGCAAGACCCCGGAGAAGGGCTACCACGCCCGCGGGTGAGTTGAAGGCCGAGCACAACTCCGGCTTCGTTGCCGTGGACACGCGCGGCCTCGGGATAATCCCCTTTGACGTCGACCTCGAAGCCCTTCAGCGGGAGCGGCACTCCGATCGCCGATCGCACGGCTTTCAGCCGCGCTTGCGGCGAGCTCAAGAACCGCACTGACCATCTCAAGGAGCGCACCCTCTGCAGGCCAGCCACAGCTGGGGGAGCTGAGGTCCTTGCCCCCCTGGGGGGACCCATCGATTTCGACGCCCCTCTCGAGAGATCGTCGATGCGATGGGTCATCCCAGGAGGGTATTGACCACAGCTCCCCCAGTTGTGGCTGCTCGGCTCCAGCTGGGCGTCCGCCCCGCGGCGCGGCGCGGCGCGGGCGGGCAGCGGCCGCCGCCCCCGCGCGCCGCCGGGAGCACGGGCGCCCGGGGAGAGCTCCCCCTCTGGGCCGCCGATGGGGGCTTCTGGGCCTCGGGGGCCCTCGTCTGCTTTCCTAGGGGGCCACATGCGATCCCTCCCCCTCCCCCTCAGGAATCGTGGGAGGGTCGGGGTAGGTTTCGCATGTGGCCCCCTACTTCCCCCCCCCCCTCCCCCCGCCGTTCCCTGTCCTCGTCGTGCTGCGCCGCTCCTCCTGGCTTCTGCCCTTCTCCTTTCTCGCTTCTCCTCCCGTCGCTCTCTCCTAAGAGGAGGGGGAGGCCATGGTTCGTTCACCTCTGCTTCTACAGCTTCGAGTCTTTCCACCAGCCGCCGAGACCCCAAAAACTCAGGAGGGGAAAAAACACAGGCACAATGTATCGTCGATTCCCCAGAAAATAGGGGAAATTTTCCCGGCAAAGCAACCTAACAGCGATGTGTAGGAGCATATCTGCAAGCATTCCCCTTAAGATTCACATGATAATCCAGTTGTAGAATTCTGCTGTTCTCGCAGTCGCAGTCGCATTCGCGATGAAAGTCGAAGTGGCAACGGCAGTCGCAGTCACAGCCTCAGCCTCAGCCTGCCTCAGCCTCAGCCTCAGCCTGCCTCAGCCTCAGCCTCAGCCTGCTTCAGCCTCAGCCTCAGTCTGCCTTCAGCCTCGGCCTCAGCCTCAGCCTGCCTCAGCCTCAGCCTGCATCAGCCTCAGCCTCAGCCTCAGCCTGCCTCAGCATCAGCCTGCCTCAGCCTCCTGCCTCAGCCTCAGCCTCAGCCTGCCTGCTTCAGCCTCAGCCTCAGTCTGCCTTCAGCCTCGGCCTCAGCCTCAGCCTGCCTCAGCCTCAGCCTGCAGCCAGCCTCAGCCTCAGCCTCAGCCTGCCTCAGCCTCAGCCTCAGCCTGCTTCAGCCTCAGCCTCAGCAGCCTCAGCCTCAGCCTCAGCCTGCCTCAGCCTCAGCCTCAGCCTGCCTCAGCCTCAGCCTGCCTCAGCCTCAGCCTCAGCCTGCCTCAGCCTCAGCCTCAGTCTGCCTTCAGCCTCGGCCTCAGCCTCAGCCTGCCTCAGCCTCAGCCTGCATCAGCCTCAGCCTCAGCCTCAGCCTGCCTCAGCATCAGCCTGCCTCAGCCTCAGCCTGCCTCAGCCT